TCGCTCCCACAGCCCTCTGGAGGAAGCTAGAGTATGAAGAGCTGTTGCAGCTTTGCATCATTCTGCTGCTGAGTGTCCACATTTACCCCAAAATAATGAGCCTCACTTTATGTTTGATGACACACTGAGATGCCTGTGGAAACTCAAAGGTCATTTCTTTCTTGGTTGTTATGGGTGTTCACTGTTCTTTGTGAGCCTCAAACCTCCATGGCAGCAGCAGATGTAATTATAAACAAATTTATAGACTGTCAATTACCTCATGGTTGAAGGGCTGACAATGCAGTTAGGGAGGGGACAAATTGTGGACCACCATCAAACTTTGGGTTTACTCACATTTAAAAAAAATTAACCTCTATTCGTACTGAGATAAAATTCAGTTCCTGGATCAGCTTAAATTCATTCTAACTAAAAAGTAAATACAAAGTTAACGTGACCGGACACAGCAGGGTGGTAAATGAGTTCAGGCTTAGGAACAGTTAAAGCCAGAATAGTAAAGGTATAGGATATGCTTTCAGGTTATAGTGTCATGGTTAATAAGTCAGTATTGTACAGAAATGTACAACTAGTTGTAGGAAAGCCACCGCTGTAGACAGACTCCCGCAGAAGTGATCTGTAGGGGATGGTGGATCTGTCACATCAGCTTCATAAATGTGGATGTGTATTTCAGCTTTGGGAAACTATAGGAGGTAAACATTTGATTTGGGTTTGTTTTTTCATTTTATTGGCAAAGTATGAAACTTTCCCAAACACACTCTGTTGCCTCTAACATTCTGTGGAGTGACGTCTATGGGAAGAACAAAAATTCCCAGCAAAAATCCACAAGATGAGATACTTACACTTGCTCTTGCATCGACAGTGAGCTAATAGTCTCTCATTCTACTGTCATTAGCAACAATAGCTACCACAATGCTGTGCACAACACAGACTCCAATGCAAAAACCACCAGAGACAAAAACATGAGATTGGAAAATCTGGATCTGTTCATTTGAAAAAAGGGGAAAAGCAACACTTTATCTCTGTTGTGTCTTTCAGGTTTGTCGGCAGCTGTGAAGAAGACACACTCATGTGAGTTCTGTTTTTGCATCACTGTGTATTGGTTGGTAAAACTGTTTTATCTAGACGTTGTATTAATAACATGAATGCTCCTCATTTTTAGGCACACTGGAGAGTGTTGAAGAATAGGTGAGACTAATCAGTAAGAACAAGACAGCAAATGTAAAACTAAATCCAAAGCATGAGGGCCAAAAGACTATCAAAATTTTTGCATGAATAGATTTCCTTTGTTTGCAATCTGGCCGCTGTCCCTTGAACTAAGATTCTGAGGGTAGGTGGTCTAAGTCGATTCACTCGATGAGTTTTTAATGAAGTTTCCATTCACTGTGGAACACTGAACGTGTTTTCCCCCCAACATTATAAGCGGTTTTTACTGTAAAACATGCAAGCACTGTGAGAGTGAAGGATAGATGAGGACAAATGTGTGACAGGGGACTTCTGCTAGAGTGGAGTCTCTCTCATTAGAGCTGATAAGGCTGGATAATGAATGTGAGATCCTCCTGCAGTCGTCTGTGCGTGGGACTGTCGGAGGGAGGAACGCTGATCCTCCAGGCGCTGCCCAAACAGCTCCTAACATGCTGCTGTGAATCTACTGACTGGGCCTGATGAGGGGAGGTGGAGAGCTCCGACATCGGCTGAGCGGCTTTTCCAAGCATAAATCATCCCCGTGTTCTGCCAATTTGGAGGAAGAATGAAACTCCTGCTGCACCTCAGTCTCCTCTCTCTGCTGGCAGGAGACACTCTCGCCTACAGCACTTTGATATTTACTCAGCATGGCTGTTTTCAGGAAGCTTAATCGTTTTCACTGATGCTCCACAGCTCAGTCGGGATTTGTTTTATGAAGCTGAGTGGGATGGTGGGTGAGGTGCCCTGTAAATATATCTTTAGCTTTATTTTATGAGGGAGCTTCTCTGTCACTGCACAGATTTGCTGAGACAACATGAGAGGAGGAGAGACACTTAAACCACACTGCTGTGTTAGAGGGGATATTACTGCAGGTCAACTGGAGGCATTTTGTAAAGTTCCTATAAGCTATGACCTAAAGCTAGGTGCTTTGTGAGACTTACTCATAGGTTCGGATTGTTATTTTGAACTGTGTAAGTGCTTGAAAAAGGGAAATCCTACAACGATCAGAGTGCTATACAAAATAGTTTCCTCAGGCACTGATATTCAGTAGGAGTTTGAAGATTGGTCTTAGCTGAATGATTAGATGGAACGGACTGTTGTGGTACTTTTCACCACTGAGTGCCTACAGCACTTCTACGTTATAAGCCACATTTATCCATTTATACATGGAGCATCTCGCTCATGGATATTTCAACATGCAACTTTGGAACCTTTCTGTCAGTGGAAATGAAGTTTAACTCAACAATGTATCCCTATGAACATATTGGAGATAATTTATCTGAATTTTAGGAGTGGGACCAAACCTCTATACATGCCCCTACCGGTTCTCTATCTTTATTTCATTGGATTCTCTTTCAGGCAATCCAAGAAACCAAAACTCTCTGAACAACATGTCAGGTGCTTCAGAGAGACCAAACTCTATCGGTCATCCTTGGGAACCTCATAGCACTTTTTCTCACCGCTCGGCAATCCGGTCTGCTACATCCATCTTTCCGTAAATCAATTCAATTCAATTCAATTTTATTTATATAGCGCCAAAT